CTGTAATCCCAGCTACTGAGGAGGCTGGGGCAGGAGAATTGCCTGAACCCAGGAGGCGGAGGTTGCCGTGAGCCGAGATCGCGCCATTGCACTCCAGCCTGGGTAACAAGAGTGAAACTCCGTCTCAAAAAAAAAAAAAAAGAAAGAAAGAAAAGATATTAGTGTTCATGAATTGAAAGAATTAATATTGCTAAAATGTCCACACTACCCAAAGCAATCTATAGGTTCAGTGCAATACCTATCAAAATTCCAATGTCATTTTTCATAGACATGGAAAAAACAATCCTAAAATTCATGTGAAACTACAAAAACCCCCTAATAGCCAAGATAATATTCAGCAGAAAGAACAAAGCTGGAGGCTTCATACCACCTGATTTCAAACTATATTACAGATTGGGCATGGTGGCTCATAATTATAATCCCAGCAATTTGGGAGGCTGAGGAGGGCAGATTTCTTGAGCCCAGGAGTTTGAGACCAGCTTGTGCCCAGTAGTTCAAGACCAACATGGCAAAACCCCATCTCCATAAAAAAGTAAAAAATTAGGCCAGGCACAGTGGCTCATACCTGTAATCCCAGCACTTTGGGAGGCCGAGACAGGTGGATCACCTCAGGTCAGGACTTTGAGACCGGCCTAACTAACATGGTGAAACCCCGTCTCTACTAAAAATACAAAAGTTAGCTGGGCATGGTAGTGGGCACCTGTAATCCCAGCTACTTAGGAGGCTGAGGCAGGAGAATCGCTTGAGCACGTGAGGCAGAGGTTGCAGTGAGCTGAGATTGCACCATTGCACTCCAGCCTGGGCAACAAGAGTGAAAGTCCAACTCAAAAAAAAAAAAAAAAAAATTAGCTGGGTGGTAATATCAGGTACTTGGGAGGCTGAGGCAGGAGGGTTGCTTGAATCCAGGTGGTAGAGGTTGCAGTGAGCCATGACTGTGCCACTGCACTCCAGCCTAGGTAACAGAGCAAGACCCTTTCTAAAATATATATATATATATATATATATATATATATATATATATGCACACACACATATATACCTATATTCTGTTTTATACATATTCTGTTATATATATATTCTGTTATATATATAATAGCTATAATAATTATATACATATATTCTGTTTTATATATATATATGTAACAGAACTACAATGATTATAACAACATGGTACTGGCATAAAAATAGACACATTGACCAAATGGAACAGCATAGAGAGCCTAAAACAAACCCACATTTACAGTCAATTGATTTTTCTTTTTCTGTTGCCCAGGCTGGAGTGCAGTGGTACAATTATAGCTCACTTCAGCCTCAACTTCCTGGGCTCAAGCAATCCTCCCACCTCAGCCTTCCAAGTAGATGGAACGCCAAGTAGCTGGAATACCAAGTAGCTGGTGCACGCCATCACAGCCAGCTAATTTAAAAAAATTTTTGTAGCAATGGGGTCTTGTCCTATTGCCCAGGCTGGTCTCAAACTCCTGGGCTTAGGCAATGTTTCTTCCTTGGCCTCCCAAAATTCTGGGATTATAGGTGTTATACGCCACACCTGGCCTACAGTCAATTGATTTTTTGACAAAGAATGAGAATGACATTGAGAAAATAAGAGTCTCTTCGACAAAACAGTGTTGAGAAAACTGGATATCCACGTGCAGAAGAATGAAATTGGACCTTTACCTAACACCACATTAAAAAAATTGAATCCAAATGGAGTAAAGACTTAAAGACAAGATCTGATCCTGAGATGTTTAATTGGCGTTAGATAAAATTTTTTTTAAAAAAAGACAAGATCTGAAATTGTAAAACTACTAGAAGCACACTACATAAGGAAAAAACTACATGATGTTGATCTGGGCAATTATTTTTTCAATTTGACACCAAAAGCTCAGGGAACAAAAACGAAAATATACAAATGGGATGGGATTACATCAAACTAAAAAGCTTCTACACAGCAAAAGAAACAATTAACAGGGTGAAAAGGCAACCTATGGATTGGGAGAAAATATCTATAAGCTACACATCTGATAAGGGATTAATATCCAAAATATATAAGGATCTCAACTCAATGGCAAGAAAACAACCCAATTAAAAAGTGGGCAAAGGACCTGAATAAACATTTTCCAAAAGAAGACATATAAATGGACAACAGATATATAGAAAAAAAAAAGCTCACCATCATTATGGAATCATTACGGAAATGCACATTAAAACCACAATGAGGGCCGGGCGCGGTGGCTCAAGCCTGTAATCCCAGCACTTTGGGAGGCCGAGGCGGGTGGATCACGAGGTCAAGAGATCGAGACCATCCTGGTCAACATGGTGAAACCCCGTCTCTACTAAAAAAAATACAAGAAATTAGCTGGGCATGGTAGTGTGTGCCTGTAATCCCAACTACTCAGGAGGCTGAGGCAGGAGAATTGCCTGAACCCAGGAGGTGGAGGTTGTGGTGAGCCGAGATCGTGCCATTGCACTCCAGCCTGGGTAACAGGAGGAAAACTCCGCCTTACCAAAAAAAAAAAAAAAAAAAACACAATGAGATATCATTTCACACCTGTCAGAATGACTATTATCAAAAAATATGAAAGATAAGGGCCAGGAATGGTAGCATACACCTGTAATCCCAGCAATTTGGGAGGCTGAAGTGGGAAGATCGCTTGAGGTCAGGAGTTCCAGACCAGCCTGAGCAACACAGCAAGACCCTGTATCTACAAAAAACAAAACAAAACAAAACAAAAAAAACCTTGTTTTAATTAGTTGGGTGTGGTGTCATGCACCTGTGGTTGTAGCTTCTCAGGAGGCTGAGGTGGGAGGATTCCTTAAGTCCAGGAGGTCAAGGCTGCAGTAAGCTATGTTCATGCCACTGCAATCCAGCCTGGGTGACAGAGCAAGACCCTGTCTCAACAAACAAACCAAAAATGTGAAAGATAATGTGTTAGCAATGATATGGAGAAAAGGGAAATCTTGTACACTGTTGGTTGGGATATAAATTAGAACAGCAATTATGGATAACTGTGTGGAATTTCCCCAACAAAGTGAAAGCAGAACTACCATATGATCCAGCAATCTTACTTCTGGGTATACATCCAAAGGATTTGAAGTTAGTATGTGATATACACTATGGTGTGCGGAAATGTGGTGTATATATACACAATAGAATACTATTCAGCCTTAAAAAGGAGGGAAATTCTGTCATTTGCAACAACATTGGTGAACCTGGTGGACATTATGCTAAGGGAAAAAAGCCTGGCACAGGAAAACAAATACCACATCTTCTCACTTAAATGTGGAATCTAAAACAATTGAACACATGTAAGCATAGAGCAAAATGCTGGTTACCAGAGGCTAAGGGGTGGGGAAGAAATGGGGAGATGTTGGCCAAAGGTGCAATGTTTCAGTTGGACAGGAGGAATAAGTATTTGAGGTGATGGATATGTTAATTACCTAAATTCACTCATTCCACATTATATATCATAGCATCACTTTGTACCCCATAAATATATGTACTTGTAATTTGTCAATATTCAATAGTATAAATAAAAATTTTTACACTTTCTGACCATCACAATATCCAAGAAAAATAAAAATGTGTCCTACCAGAAACTTGCACATATTCATAGAAGCATTATTCATAATAACTAAAAAGTAAAAACAACCCACGTTCCATCACTTGATGAACTGATAAGCAAAATTTGTTTTATCCAAACATTGGAATATTATTCAGCCATAAAAGACATGAAGTTGCCAGGGGCGGTGGCTCACGCCTGTAATCTCAGTACATTGGGAGGCCGAGGCGGGTGGATCACGAGGTCAAGAGATCGAGACCATCCTGGTCAACATGGTGGAACCCCGTCTCTACTAAAAATACAAAAATTAGCTGGGCATAGTGGCGCATGCCTGTAATCCCAGCTACTCAGGAGGCTGAGGCAGGAGAATTGCCTGGACCCAGGAGGTGGAGGTTGCGGTGAGCCGAGATCGCGCCATTGCACTCCAGCCTGCGGAACAAGAGTGAAATTCCGTCTCAAAAAAAAAAAAAAAAAAGACATGAAGTATTGATACAACATAATGAACCTTGAAAACATGCTAATGTTTTTTTAAATTATTTTTATTTTTATTTTAGACAGAGTCTTGCTCTGTCACCCAGGCTGGAGTGCAATGGCACAATCTCAGCTCACTGCAACCTCCATCTCCCAGGTTCAAGCAATTCTCCTACTTCCGCCTCCCAAGTAGCTGGGATTACAGGCAGGCACCACCACGCCCGGCTAATTTTTTTGTATTTTTAGTAGAGACGGGATTTCACCATATTGGCCAGGCTGGTCTTGAACTCCTGACCCTGTGATCAGCCTCCCAAAGTGCTAGGATTACAGGTGTGAGCCACCACGCCTGGCCAGATGCTAATATTTTAAAGAAGGCAAACATAAAAGGCCACATATTATATGATTCCATTTATGTGAAACATCCAGAATAAAAATCCATAAAGACAGAAAGTATATTAGTGATTGCCAAGGACTTGGGGCTGAATAAATGGGGAGTGGACTGTCCTAGATATGGGCTTTTTTAGGGAGTGATGAATATGTTCTGGAGCTATCTAGTGGTGATTGTTGCATAACTGTGCGAGTACATTAGAAAGTACTGAATTGAACCTATTAAAAGGGAAAACTTTATAATATGTGAGTTACTTCTCAACAAAGCTGTTATTTTAAAAATAAAAATTTTCTGCAATATCTCCAAAAAATATATATAACGAAAGAAGCAAGGTGAAGATAGTATGTTTAGTACCAGGTATATAAAACTAGATAGACACAGATAGTCTATAGATAGAGAGATATAGATAGATTATATAGAGATGTGGGATGGCAACCAACTTTTCATTCTGTGCCCTTTTATGTTTTTCATAGTTTGTACTATGTGCAGGTATTATATCTACCATATGTATATTTTTTTCTAGGATCATACTAGAAATAGTTTATCATAACTTTTCACATTCATCCTTTCTTTCCTGTTAGGAAACAACAATTAGTGACATCTTTGAATCTGAAGTAATGAATGAAGCATTGCCTTTATCAAACTCCAGGTTAGTAAAGTCAAGACAGTCGTCTGAGATGAACTCCCAGCCATGCCTGAGAGTCGTAGCTGCCTAACTAGTCCTAGATTGCTGGCTTGAAAAGGCATAGCATTCTGGAGTCATTTACTCTACATGAATTATCTGAATCTTCTTCCAATTCCTCCCCTTCACCCCTACACCCCATAGAATCCTGACTTAAGATAGGAAATAATCTATGAACATAGGTTTAAGGTAAATTTTATTTGGCTTTCTTTGTATAACAGTTGCAAAAAAAAATGAAATTTTATCAATGGCCTATATCCCTGTAACCCCAAACTGCTACCAAGAAACTCTATCTACATCATGTCCTCACACCTGGCCTTTCTTAGTTTTTCAGGAAAAGATTTGGTAGAGTCATTTGTAAGTCTTCAAGAGACTGAAGTGATTAAGTCAAAAGAAGCAATGGCAAGTTCAGAGTCCCCTGAGAATCTTTTGTGTTCACAGAATTCTGAGGCTGGATACATAAATGTGGCTTCTCTGAAAGAGACACACGGTATACAAGAACAAGACCAAAAGTCAGAGCTATAAAATCACTGTTGCCTAAAGCTATACTGAACAAAATTGCTAACTTAAAGCCTGGACACAAAAGTGGACCATGACATTGAGAAGAGTTACCACAGATCCCAAATGGATGTCAACCAAGTGTCTTCAAAATTGCTGATAAATTCATTAAAGCCATTCTAAAAATGGATTTTTCAAGTTTGTTTGATATCCTCAGATACCTTGTATTGATCAATATATTGACTTTAGTTCAATGATTTATTTAGGTTTCTTTTCAGCAGAGCACATGTATGGTTAATTCGGCATTCTTTCCCATTATTATGGGTATATTTTCAATTTATTTTTTAAGAGTAAAAACAATACAGTCACATTAAAGCAAATATTTTTTTTAAAAAAAACCCTCCTATAATACCACAATCTTAACACAACTATTTTTATTTTACAATTGTTCCCTTTTGGTCATAATTCAAATACATATATTCTAAATGGGTATTATAATAATATTGTATATTCATTTTCATAGTCTGATTCTTCATTTACCGTATGTATCATGGAAACATTTTCAATAGCTATATGATATTCAATCATGTTGATGTTCTATAATTATTTTTTATGGGAAAATTTTTATTTTTATTTATTTATTTTTTTGAGACAGAGTTTCTCGCTCTGTCACCCAGGCTGGAGTGCAGTGGTGCAATCTTGGCTCACTGCAACCTCCTCCTCCCGGATTCAAGCAATTCTCTGCCTCAGCCTCCAAGTGGCTGGGATTACAGGTGCCCACCACCACGCCCAACTAATTTTTGTATTTTTAGTAGAGATGGGGTTTCACCATCTTGGCCAGGCTGGTCTCGAACTCCTGACATCATGATCCACCGCCTTGGCCTCCCAAAGTGCTGGGATGAGCCACAGCGCCCTGCCCTAGGAAAAGTTTTAAACATTTAATTAAAAAGATTTAGAGCAATACATTATTTAAAAGTGGATAGGAAGCCAGGCACGGTGGCTCATGCCTGTAATCACAGCACTTTGGGAGGCCAAGGTGGGCAGATCACCTGAGGTCAGGAGTTTGAGACCAGCCTGGCCAACATGGGGAAACTCCGTCTCTACCAAAAACACAAAAAAAATTAAGCCGGGTGTGGTGGCACCCGCCTGTAGTCCCAGCTACTGGGGTGGCTAAGCTGGAGAATTGCTTGAACCCAAGAGGTGGAGGTTTCAGTGAGCCAAGATTGTGCTACTGCACTGCAGCCTGGGTAACAGAGCAAGACTCCATCTCAAAATATAATAATAATAATAATAATAATAGATAGGAAAATACCAAGAGCTTTTTCTGGGGGAAGGGGTATGAGAGTTCACATAACCCTCAGTAAAAAAGAAACTACCCCTAAGTATTTCCAGACAGAAGTACAAAGTAGTTGAACAGTCTCCAATTCATCTTTAGTGTAGTGGGACTGCTTCTTCAGAAAAGAACAGCAACATTCACATCCATTTCATCAATCTGGGTGGAATAGTCCTGCTCAGTATCTCTGAGGATGTGGGATGTTCTATAAATTAAACGTTCTCTTGTTTGGCATTTAAGTTTTTTTTTTTTGTTTTTTTTTTTTGTTTTTTTTTTGAGATAGAGTCTTGCTGTGTCACCAGGCTGGAGTGCAGTGGCACGATCTTGGCTCACTGCAACCTCCACCTCCCAGGTTCAAGCAATTCTCCTACTTCAGCCTCCCAAGTAGTTGGGACTACAGGCATGCTTTACCACGCCTGGCTAATCTTTTTTTTATTTTAGTAGAGATGGGGTTTCACCATATTGGCTAGTATGGTCTCGATCTCCTGACCTGATGATCCGTCTGCTTCGGCCTCCCAAAGTGCTGGGATTACAGGCGTGAGCCATCACACCTGGCCAGCATTTAAGTTGTTTTTACTAATTTTTTTTATTTTTGTTTTTGAGACAGGGTGTCACTCTGTCACCCAGGCTGGATTGCAGTGGCATGATTACTGCTTATGCAGCCTCAACCTCCCAAGCTTAAGTGATCCTCCCTCCTCAGCCTCTTCCAAGTACAGGCATATGCCACCATGCCTGGCTCATTTTTGTAATTTTTATAAAGATGATATCGTCTTTATAAAAGACGATATCATCTTTATAAAACTCTGTTGCTCAAGCTGGTCTCAAATTCCTGGGCTCAAGTGATCCTCCCATCTCAGTCTCCTAAATTAGTAACAGGATTATAGATATGAGCCTCTATACCAGGCCTGGTTTTACTTTTTTACTATTTAAGGTTATGCTCTGTTGAAGGTCTTTATGCATGTACTTATTTTCTTTTGAATTAATCCAGAAAACAAATCTGCAAAATTGGACTGGGTCAAAGGATATAAATGTATTGCTCTAGGACATCACTTATTCTGCTTTAAAAAATAGTTGTGCTTGGCCAGGTGCAGTGGCTCACACCTGTAATCCCAGCAATTTGGGGAGCCAAGGCGGGCAGATCACTTGAGGTCAGGAGTTCAAGACAAGCCTGGTCAACATGGCAAAACCCTGTCCCTACTAAAAATACAAAAATTAGCTGGGTGTAGTGGTGCACACCTGTAAACCCCGCTACGTGGGAAGCTGAGGCACAAGAATCACCTGAACCTGGGAGGTGGAAGTTGCAGTGAGCTGAGACCACTCCACTGCACTCCAGCCTGGGCAACAAGTGAGACTCTGTCTCAAAAAATAAATAAATAAACTAAATAAAAAATAAAAAGGGTTGTGTCAACATAGTGTTTTCATAGCCAAGTTACTCAACCTCACCTCGTTGAGGCTCAATTTCATGATTCATAAAATGGGAACAATAATAATTATATATCCCATAGGGTTGTGAGGACCAAATGAAATGAAGTATGTAAAGTATTTAGCACTTAGTAACTGCTTAATAAATGCTAGCTATCACCATTTCTTTTCACTAGCAGTTTATCAACATACTATTTTTTTTTTTTTTTTTTATTTGAGACGGAGTTTCACTCTTGCTACCCAGGCTGGAGTGCAATGGCGCCATCTCGGCTCACCGCAACCTCCGCCTCCTGGGTTCAGGCAATTCTCCTGCCCCAGCCTCCTGAGTAGCTGGGATTACAGGCACGCACCACCATGCCCAGCTAATTTTTTGTATTTTTAGTAGAGACGGGGTTTCACCATGTTGACCAGGATGGTCTCGATCTCTTGACCTCGTGATCCACCCGCCTCGGCCTCCCAAAGTGCTGGGATTACAGGCTTGAGCCACCGCGCCCGGCCAACATACTATTTTTTTTTACAACCTCATCAACATTGGGTATTATCAATTTTAAACATTTATTCTAAAACAGTTGGTATAGTCTGGGCATGGTGGCTCGTGCCTGTAATCCTAGCACTTTGGGAGGCCGAGGTGGGTGGATCACCTGAGGTCAGGAGTTCAAGACCAGCCTGGCCATCATGGTGAAACCCCATCTTTATAAAAACAAACAAACAAACAAAAAAACAGTTGGTATAAAATTATACTGAAGGGTGACTGCTGCTGTTCCTTTTCCCCCTCCTCCCCTTTCTTTTTTTTTCAGTTGGAGAAGACCAACAGGAGAGGATCAGGAACCTGAAATAAAAATGACCCTTTAAATTGAGATACACTGGATTTTTTTTTTCTTTATTTTTTTCTTATTTTTGTTTTGTGTCTTTTCTTTATATACACTGGATTTTTATATGTAATCCTTGCTTCCTCAGATGACAGAGCTAGAAAAGATGATCAAAGGACATAGGAAATAATAACTGTGATATTGTGCCAGAATTGCTAGCCTTTGCTTTAGTTATTTAGTAATAACTAAAATAAGCAGCCCAGGATAACTAAGATCTGTGTGTAAACAAATGCTTATCTTGACTTCTGTAAACCACTGAAGTAACAAACAGAATGACAAAAGTCCCCTGGCCCTTGGAATGTCCGGAGACCCCCGCCCTCGTCTCCGCCCAGGAGGTGAATCACAGAATCCCCTAGCCCTTGGAATGTCCAAAACCTTTTCATCCCCATTCCCGTTCCTCACCCCCACTCCCAAGGTGGTTTTTCGGGTATAAAAAGTCTTGGCACCCTCCTTTTGACGCCACAGGTTGGAGAGATGTGAGTCCTCTGTGGTCGCCGGCATAATAAATGACCCTGCAATCTGGCATACTTTTGTCTTGGTGCTAACTTTCTACTCTCGGTCCAATACAACATAACTATTATATTAAATGCATGCTGTTATATTGAATGAGCCTTGCCCAAGGTCCCTGTCTTTCACTAAATTCTTTGGAAATATTATATTTATTGAATATCTACTACGTGCTATTCAGTAGGAGACATTGCAGCTACACTGTGAATAGGACCAGGAGTCTCTACTTTCATGGAGTTTATATGCTATTAGGGAGGAAGATATATGTGTGTGTGGCCGGAAATGAGGTGTAGACACATACCACACAAAGATAATGTGGAATGGGGGATAGCATGAAGAAAACAAATAAGTGATCTGAATGACCAAGGGCTACTTTAGGTCTAATGTTGCCTCTGAGAAGGTAACATCTGGGCTGAGCCCTGAACTATAAAAACATTACTTCCCAACCAACCAGTTCACCCACCCACCCACCCCCCCGCCCTCCTCCGCTAACCCACATTAAGATTTGGAAGGAATATTTAAGACAGAGGTAACAGCTATTACAAGGCCCTAAAGAGAGGAGGGATCTCAGTGACCTAGAGGAACAGACCAGCCAGAGCACAGTAACTAAGGGCAAGTGGCACAAGATGAGGTCAGGTAGATGACAGCTAGATAAATGCACTGTAGGGCTTTGTATGTAAGGAATTGAATTTTATTCTAAATATAGGAAGCCAGGAGTGATTTATAAGCACAAGAGTTATTCTGAAAATAAAAAACTCTACTTGCTCTGTGGGAAATGAATTGGAAATGACAAAACTGGAAGCTTGTGGCAGAACTGAAACATAATCTATTGTACTGACTTCGAGGAAAGAATAAGTATTTACCTAGCAAGCATTTGCGTGCCAACTGTTCTAAACGGTGAGGACGAACAAACCAGAGTTCCTGCTTTCATGGTGTGCACACACTAGCGGCAAAAGACAGACACAGCACGTGTGGCGGTGCAGAGGGCTTGGCTGCAAGAGCTGATAAGGAGGACCCTGGGAACTGCCTAATCCAAAAGCCCTAGCTAGAGCAAGATCAATTTGTACTGCCCTTAGTACAGCCACGTGAGTGGGGTGACCATTGACCTTAACCAAAAAGATGTCAAGGTTTTCCTCCTCCTCACTCCAGCGTCCCCAGTCTCAGTGGGAGTTTCTCAGCTGGACCCCAGCAGCCTCAGAACAAACCGCGCGGGGAGACAACTTCCGGGGGCGGGGCCCGCTCTTCTTCCGC